GTCTTCCAAAAACCAAGCAAGTGCTCCAGCATCAGTGTCCAAGAGCGGCACTCAGGTGAGCACCTCACTGCTGCTGGCCCCCAAGAGCGGCACTCAGGTGGGCACCTCGCTGCTGCTGGCCCCGAAAAGTGGCACTCAGGCGGGCACCTCGCTGCTGCTGGCCTCCAAGGGCACTGCTAAGGCGGGTTCCTCGCTCCTGGCCTCCAAGAGCAGTGCCGAGGTGGCTGCCTCGTTGCTGGCCGCTCGGAGCGGCGCTCAGCAGGGATCCTCACTGCTGGCTTCCAAGAGCAGCGCTCAGGTGGCTGCTTCGCTGCTGGCCACTCGGAGCGGCGCTCAGCAAGGTCCCTCATCACTGGCCGCCCGGGGTGGGGCTCAGGCGGGTGCTTCCCTGCTGGCCTCCAAGGGTGGCACGCAGGCAGGTTCACCACAGCTTGCTTCCAAGAGCGGCTTGCAGGCAGGTGAAAGCCCTGCTAAGGCTTTGTGCAAACCATTAACCAGCGAAGATGCCAAGGAAAGGCAACCTTTTTTCAACAGACTATACAAAGCTGTAGCCTGGAAACTGGTTGCCGTTGGAGGCTTCAGTCCTAACGTAAATCATGCAGAACTTCTAAACTCATCTATTCAGTCTGTAAAAGCTACGTTGGATGTTGCTTTTGTTCCCCTGAAGGAACTTGCAGACTTGCCTCAAAATAAGAGCTCTCTAGAAAATATAGTTTGTGAACTGAGGTGCAAGTCTGTCTACTTGGGTACTGGCTGCGGTAAAAGTATGGAAAATGCCAAAGCGGTTGCTTCAAGAGAAGCTTTGAAATTATTCCTCAAGAAGAAAGTTATTGTGAAGATCTGTAAAAGAAAATACAAAGGTAGTGAAATTGAAGATTTGGTACTTCTGGATGAAGAATCAAAACCTTCGAATTTACCTCCAGCTTTAAGAAATCCTCGTGAGATCTTGTAGGGAAGAATTGCTGTTTGTACCCTGTATAGTATTTCAAGACAAGGACTGAAGGTTAATTTTGTACTTTAAAAACGTAGGCTTCCAGATATTTTGTATTTCTTTCTCAGTTTTGCAAGACAATGATAGTCCTTTCACTTGGTAGCAATTGTATAAAACTTGTTAGAGATGACAAGTGCGCATTTAAAGGTATGCCTTAATATATAGCACACTAGTGTGCTGTTTTATTTGCAGAATAGTCTACCTAATTCTTCTATTTTTAATTAAATGATTAAGGTACAATTTGCTGTTTAAAACCTGACAGTTTTGTAATTCTTACGATTTGATGGCCGTGTGATCAATTGTCTACCATGTCTTTTTTAGCCACATAGAAGTATGTATATAGGGACCATAATACTTGAATGATTGAAAGTTTTTTAAAAATTTCAATCAAAAAGTTGAATCATCTGTTTCAGGCGTGTTGCTCATAATGTTCACTGTTGCTCATACCAGGAGAGAAAATAGTTGGTTGACTATTTTTAAGGGGTGTCGTAACACTCGCAATATAAATGAGATCCCATTTAACATTATACTAGCAGGTTAGATCCCATTTAACATTATACTGGCAAATTATCAATTGGCAGTCAAGTCACAGCTACTTCAGCCACCAGAACTCTGTAAGCAGATTTAATTCATGCTGTGAAATATCATTTACAGGGTTTTTTTTCAAATAAACATGGATTTCTATACTAAGCATATTTTGACTGCTACTAAAACAATAAAACCTCTGGGATATGCTTTTGTAGTACTTTGGGTTTGGCTATTAAATATTCCAGCCATTTTAATAACTTTGCAACACCTTAAGAAAAGCTTCACTTTGAATGGCTTCAAGGTGTAATCCCACAAGGATGAGTTGTTTTCTTTGGATGTGTAGCTGAAATACTGTAAAACTGATAGAGTGGACCTATAGAATATCTGTTTCTACTTTTGTAACACTTACCAAGATAAGCAAAATGAAGATGCTGCCGTCTCCTAGAGGCAGCGAGTGTATTGTAAAGCGTTCACACTAACTGAGCCCTTCCTTTGCTACGTTTTTACACGATGTACAGAATGGTTTGAAGCAAAGAAAGTGGGAGATTACCTTTTATTTTCAATGTTACTGAAATACCTGCACAAACTGCATGTTTTGATATATTGGATAATGACATGTAATTGTAAAAACATAATGTCTTCAGTGCTATCTTGAATTAATTTTGTCTGATTACAGTAGTTAGCGTCATTTAATGGAGACCTTACTCTTGACTGGCAGATGCATTGATCGAGTACTGTGGGAATGAATAGGAATTCCTGGGATCTCGGTAGTATAGATGTCCACTGAAAGACTTCAAGTTCCTTTGTGATTTTGGGACTAAACCACAATGGCGTTGTTGCACTGTACCCTACGTGATTTTGAACAGCAGCGGCTGTCCAGTCCGTAGCGCCCGAAGCCTGCAAGGCGCTCGCGCTTCCCGATGGCCGGTTGAGAACTTCCTCCACCTGACCCCCGTGCTTCTGTGCCCCCGGTCGCCCTTCGCTCTACTTAGGTTTCTCAGGAGTTCCCCCTTGGTATTTTTGGAGCACCACCCGACGTTCGGAACGCAATGCGTTAAATTGCATCTTACGCAGCGTAAGAATTGGTGCGTGCTTCTAGCGCCAGGTGGGTTTCGTGCTGTATTTAGGAGCTGTGGTATTCATGCCAGGAAGCGCAAGATCTATTTTCAAATCCTCACCCTGTTCAGGTGGAGACGCAGCATGACTGTTTTTGCAGGGCAGGAATTGCGCCCTGTGCCCTCTGGAGGATGGCTTTCTGGCTGTTAGCTTGGGCATCTCCAGATCGCTGGTTGAGAATTGCAGCGTGTGTTGCAACGTGAAAACCTGTGTTTCCCATCTGTGAAGCGAAGCTCACAGTATTTACCGACCTCCCGGGGGTGTTTGGTAACTGTGTTAAAAGGCTGAGGTGCTAGATACCTTTTTTAAAAATCCTGACTTAAGCTTACTTTTTTTTAGAATTTTTGAATGTTATTCCTCTTTGATGTTTGGTTGTGATTCATTAAAGGACGAGTCTGTAGCTACTCTTAACAGAAACTGAAAGTTGAAGCGTGTTATTTTTATTTCACATCCTGCATGGAAAGCAGCTCAACAAGCAGATTCCAACATACGAGTAAATAAGCATTAAGCGTTTGAAAGAGAATTTGGTAACATTTCATTAACCCTAAAGGGAGAAAGAATTTCAAAGAACTGGCTGCAGCAAGAAGTGTTTGCGCGGTCCCGACAGTTCTAAAACCTCTGGGTCTCCCTTCCAGGGGCTGTCCTGGTCTCTAGCAATTGGGATGCCGGTCGTTAATTGCCAGGCCTTGCTGACGAGGACCGGCTAGAGCAAATGCACCCGCACGGTAGGTGCGCAAAAGTTGTCTCGGGGGGATAAAGGAAACCGACCGAAAGAAA